AAATAAGTGCATAAAATACCTCTTTTGTGATTAACTTCAAGCTGAAATTATAAATGAATATGTATTTAACATCCTTGAATTGAATTAGTATAATAGTGCTCCAGTAGAGTGTGATTATAATTCTGTTCTTTAATCAGCCAATCACAGTTTCAGCCCAGGATGTTGCTCAAATTGCCAAAAACCAAGCAGCAGCCTCAGGGGCTAGTACATGAAGCCAGTGCGGCAATGCCAAAAAAATTAAGGATGTGGTCGCTTTATGTTCCACCTTCTCGTCCAAATATGGTCACTGATGACTATAAAAAATCAAGATGGTGTTGTTCAAAATGCCAAACTAGAAGGTTCAGAACAGCAGTCCACAAAACATTGGGTGATATCATGGTGGCTATGTCCATTATCTATTCTACAGTCCATGGCAAATACAAACTAACCAGCAAATATCTTTGTCTCGGTACAAGTAGTTGGTCCTTGTGTGTGTGTGTCTGTGTGTTTGAAGTTGGCAGGTGGGATGAATTCCCTTGTTGCCCACACATGTACTCATACATCTACACACACACGCACATACACAGACACACACTGAGTGAGTCACAGGGCAAAACAGCCTACTGTATCAGTCTGTGGGTCGCCAGGGGCTGATGGGGCCACTCAACCATGAAAGAGGGTATAGAGGCATAACAGACAAGCACACAAACACACTTACACACATGCTCACACATACACAATATCACATGCAAAAGCACAGGGAGACACATGCACACATTTTTTTTCTAATATGTGACATCCTGTTCTTGCTCTCTCTCTCTTTCTCTCTTGTATGATTTAAAGATTGTATGTTTATGTCTTCAGAAAGTTCACGTTCAAATGCAAGATGTTTGGCAGAAACACTGATTATGTGAGTGGTTGGGCTAGTCAAGGTCAAAGCCTGGCAGGACTCAGTCTTAAATCAATCCTGAGTAAAAAGAGATTTGAAAATGCAATTCTGAAAGAAAATAATGCTATGGAGCCTTCTTATAAAACTGAGCTGAGGCCAATAGTGAGACTGAGCCTGAAGCCTTCAGTCCCTTTAGGGGTCAGGGCCCAGTCACCCTTTGAATTACTGTTCTTAAGTCCCTTCAGGTTCAGTTAGGCCTATAATCATCAATTGCTCTTTCATATATGTTTTCATCTGATGATGCAATAGTGACATTCACCAATGTAAGTTATTACTTTCCTCTTATTCTTACACAATATTGCATTATTGCTCATTATCAATATTACATCATCATCACTTAAAAATATGTAATGGCATATATTACATAACAATCCCCAGTTGTCTAATCTTACATTTTGACATGTTTCTTTATTTCACTGTCACTTGTTCAATGGATACATGTTTTGATACATGTTCTTTTGTAAATTCATTACATTCATTTGTTTTAGAATAGATTGATAATTTAAATCACAAATGCATCTTTTACGCACATATTTAATGATTAAATACACAGCGCTAATTACTGTTGTCAGGTGCATTGCTGGTTTAAGGAGGATGGACAGGTATATCTGGGTCTTGTATCTTACTCCCTCTTTAGACTATAATAATACACTTAAATCATTATTATAAAAATTAGGTATTCATAAAGTCATCATCAGTGCAAGTCTAAATGTGCGTGTCACCATTAAATCAGACTGTCAGCTTGAAAAGGTGTGTTTTCACATGGGATTTAAAGGTCGAAAGGGAGTCAATATTGGGAATGTCGTGGGGGAAAGAGTTTCAAAGGCGGGGGGGGCAGAACAGATGAAGGCTCTAGTGCCCATGGTTGTCAAGCGGGCAGCTGGTGATGTGAGTTACATTGCAGAAGAGGATCTAAGAATACGGGAGGGTGTGCAGATATGAAGGAGTCCAGACAGGTAGAAGGGGGCTTGATTATTAAGGGCCAGGTGAGAAGCAGAATCTTGAAACCGATGTGATATTTAACAGGAAGCCAGTAAAGTTGCTGGAGAACAGGAGTGATATGATCTATGGAGGGGGCTAGCAGTGGCGTTTACCGCCATTATGACGGCTCCAGCACACACTGTCATATACATATCATCTTTGTCACATGATCAGAAACTTGACACTGGATAACATCAACATACATATTACCCTGCAGTCATCACTGCATATCTGTATATGACAAAAAAAATACCAAAGAATATATGAAAAGTTTAATATAACAATTTTAATAGATGCTTTCTAGTAATAGAAAAAGCATAATTTTGTTAAAAATGCTGTTGACTATATTACAACAAAATAAAAAATAAACATGACAGAGGTGGGTTTGCCTTTTTCAGGGGCAAAAATAGCAAATGGCACTGTTTTTGATTCAATGTGAGTTCTCTGAACACAGGCATATTTCCAAGCTGGCACTTACTCAAAAGGGCCCATTCTCCACCCAACGCATTGTTAGAGGGCCCACTCTCTCTATGGGCCCCCCACTTCATGGGTCTGAGTGCAACTGCACTGCCTACACTGTCTATAATTACGTCCCTGGGTTCTAGTAATGTTACAGGTGGCTAAATTCCATACCAATTGGAGTTTATGAAGACACTCCAGTTGACACAGAATTACAATAATCAATACGGGACATAACCAAAGAGTGAACGAGATTCGTGGTGCCATGAGGTGTAAGTGACAGGCAAAGATGATTCATATTACGTAGATGAAAGTATACAGACCAATCAACGTTATTAATGTGGGCCTCAAAGGACAATGTACTGTCCAGGATGACACACTCACTCTCAATCATCTCTCCACAATCACTCGCACAGTGGTCTGTACAAATGTACAAATGTTGCGGAGAAACAGGATCATAGTGTAAGTACATCTACCGATGCTTCCAGACACATCTTCAGTGATGTCCCTGGAATCATCGGGTGTTTCGGGTCTTTCAACATCATACACCCTCCTCCAGGCAACCCAGCTGAGGCTGATCAGACCTCGGCTTGTGTCCAGATGGCTTTTCTAGCTATTCTGACTCCATTGATCTCCTCTCTTGAGCCATAGCCATCTTGAGGCTTTCTCTGCTGCTTTGGTGGTGTTGCAGATGGCTCTCCTCTTCCTCACTCCATGGATGCCCAACAAACTGAAGGCTCTGGACAGGGATTGAGCTGCAAAGCCCCTGCATCCGACCTCTATTGGGAGACACCTCGCTCTCCAACCGGCTTGTTGACACTTGCTGACCAGTTCCTCGTACTTGGCGAGCTTCCTTTCAAAGGCCTCCTCCAAGCGGTCTTCCCAAGGGACTGTTAACTCCAGCAGAACCACCTGTTTGGTGGACTTAGACAGGAGAACAACATCTGGTCTTAGGGTGGTGGTCGCAATGTGGTTGGGGAACTTCAGTTGCTGCTCAAGGTCCACCAACAACTGCCAGTCTCTTGCAGAGGCCAGAGTGCATGCAGATGCTTTTGCAGGCTGCTCCCCAGCTCTGATGAAAGTGATGGCTTGCTTGGGGGGGGAACGCTTGGCCCACTGAACTCCTGCGCCGATGGCTTCAGCAATGGCCTTCAGGACCTGGTCATGCCTCCATCTGTACCTTCCCTCTCCTAGTGCCTTTGAGCAGCTGCTCAGAATGTGCTGTAGGGTTCCACACTGGGAGCAGAGTGGACATGCTGGTGATTCCACTTTGCCCAGAGGTGTAGGTTTGATGGACTGGGAAGCACATCATAAACTACCTGGATGAGAAACGTGATCCGCTGTGGCTCAGCCTTCCACATCTCGGCCCAAGTCACCTTCCTCGCGATTGCGCTCTCCCACCCTGTCCAAGTGCCTTGTTGCCGCACTCCCACTGTCCTGCAAGACCTCTCCTCCTCGACTGCTGCTCTCACCTCCTCCTGGACTAGGCGGCACATCTCCTTCCTTTTAGCCACAAATATGTTATATTTGTGCCTTTCACAGGTATCATATCAACGTTTCTAAAGTGACGTAGAATATGAGCTGACTTTGTCATTTGGAGGTGAATGGGATGGCAGAAGGCGTGTCACTTCTGGCAAAACATCTGCCAAGCTGCAGACCACTCTTTGAGACCACCGACAACAAAACCAGTTGTGATTTAGAAAGTCATTGCTGTGTTTCCAGTGGCTTTTTAGGCAGCAAATGTGGGTGTCCGGTAGCTACCTGTCACTGTTTTCTGAGACGGACTGTGCCAAGAACAATGATTATTTTTCTATGAGGACATTGCTTTGTTTCCTGCAGATATAGTGCTACGTAAACCATGACCAAATATTTTTTTTTTTTGGCGAAACCTAAACATATGTTACCACAGCCTTGTTGAAATGTAAAGTTTTAACACATCTGTAAACACACTCAGTAAACGTTATGTATGCCTTGCAGAAACGTACAAAGCTGTCATTATGTTCCTGATGATTGGTTTTCTCCTGCAGAGGGACATTTTCCCACAGTGTGACAAGTTTGATTTTCCTAGCTTAATGGGGAAACAAAACTGTTTCAGATCAAACCATCAGTTCATTTCATTCCTCTGGCTCCCTGCTGAAGATTTACTTACTGCTGTCAATCATTTTACTCAGTTAATAGAAGAAATAAATGCACACTCACAGTACAGATCCATGTTTAGGTGCTGTGTTTATTAATGACTTAGACGATGCTAATTGTTGCTGTATGTTTGATTCAGTCATGCTGTCAGCTCGTATGATGTGGCCTCAATTCCAGCCAGCACGCTCTTATGCCATGCTGTCTTTGCGCGCGCGATTGTGTGTGTGTGTGTGTGGGGGGGGGGGCGCGTGTCTTCTTCTCCCTCAAGCCTACATCACTGTAACCCACCCACCCCCCACCCCTCTCCTCTCCCTCACACATACACACACCGGTCCCACCTCCCTATACCCAAACTACAGTGAAGCCCATTCAAGCGATTCTCCGCAGTGCTGAAAGAGCAGTGGGAAGTAAAGAAGGAGAAGGAGGAGGAGTGAAAGAGGGGGGAAGAGAGGAGAAGAGGGGAGATACGGGGAAACACGAAAGACAGAGAGAGAGAGTGTGTGTATGTGTGTGTGTGCAGCGAGAGCAGGAAAGAGAGAAAGAGAGAGAGATAAGGGGAAACTGTAAATTTGGTGCCCAGGCTTCCCAGTGCGCACTCATCTCTCGTCGGCTGCACCGTCCGAGCAGCTCTCCGCTCCGCAGGGTGAGTAAAGCTTCTGCTGCCTTATGTTTAACTGCGACTCACCAAACCCCTCCATTCCACCCATGTATCCCTCACCGTACCATCTCACCTCACTCCCCCGTCTCTCGCATCTGTTCTAAAGCCGCTCGCACTCTTTAGGGCTTGTTGAGGCGAGCTCCGCTTCTTCGGTTGCGCACGTCAGGACTTCTGTTTCGGCTGCAGGGATGAGAAATGATGCTCATGCATGTGACTGTGTTGACAGGAAATGTTTAACCTCCCTAAAAAAAATAGCCAGGGATGTTGTGTAAGAGAGGAGCCTCAAGTCTTTCTGCTCCCCTCGGTTTGAGGGGACGTGCGCCGTTTTGTTGACAGCTGATGAGCGTGTGTGCACGGCTGTTTGCTGGTCTGTTAGCGGAGGAATGTACTGTACAGTGATTAGTGTGGCGCATTTGGAAGGAGCGCGCCGCTGTAACGCCGTGCAGTCAGTATAGAGTCTGGAGAACGGCACGGTTAGACCCGCGTCGCTCCCAGCGGCGCGTGGAGAAGAGGAGAGAGAGAGAGGGAGGGAGGGTGACGAAGGGGAGGGGAGGAAAAGTGTGTGTGGATGATGTGATTGTGTCACTACAGTACATGTGTGTTAGAGAGAGAGGGGGGGACAGGGAGGAGAGAATAGGAGTGAGGCAAACGTGTGAGGGTGAGACCGTGTGCACATATGTGTGTGTGCGTGTGTGTGTGCTCTAAAAAGTCTTGGCTGCTTTTTGGGGAACCCATCCTGTGATACTGTTCCAGCAGACTGCAGCACTTCATACTAGGTCCATCTCACTATCCTTACTGTACATCTATATGCATAATGTGTGTGTGTGTGTGTGTGTGTGTGTGTGTGTGTGTGTGTGTGTGTTGTCACCAAAAAGGGATAAAAAGCTGACAGGAGTGAGAGCCCCTTTTTTGTTTTTAATTTCCAGCTATATCCAGTTCTTCATTCTGGTAATTAAAGTGAACCAGTGTATTTGTTAAAGATGAGGGGAATCTGCAGAGATTGCACAGTGCAGCACATAATGATAGGACCATTTTAGAGGCTGTAATATAACTGTAAATCATGTCATTTCAAACAGCTTTTAGGGAGTTAAAGGACACCTTATAATGGCATGTTTGTAAAATATGTCTTAGTGCCTCCCACAGATATATATCACAATAGAGTGGTTTAACCTTTAGTATGTGACAGCTTGTGCATTAGCTGTTCTAATGCTGCATTAAAGTCATTTGGAATGGTAGGCAGTGACTGGTGGTGCCAGATCTCACGAGAGAAACAAGCAACTGGGTCTATGAACACAAGACGCAAAGAAGCAGTAAATTAAAAAAAAAATAGTCGAGAGACAGGCCACTTGACCAGTTTGAATATATGAATTTATTTTGCAGTGCATAAGAAACCATTTAAAAGAAATACTGTAGCTTGTAATTTACCATTTTTCTTGAAATGAAAATAAATAAGTTGAATTTAAATTGAAATGATTTAACCCAATATACATTTCTGCACACCACAGGTTTATTTGTACGTTATTATGTAGCAGCAACACATTCTCATCCGAACTTGTAAGATATTGACACTTTCTCAGCGGACATAAACGTCAAAATATGATGCGTTAGGTACCCTCTTGCACCAGTTTTGGATGTTCTGGGACAGGGTGTCCAACCTGGTCTCCCTCCAAAATCTGGCGCTTGGGCAGTAACTTTCGGCATCAGGCACAGATGAAAAAGCCGTCCTTTAATGTCAGCATGATTGGTAGTCAGTCGCGGTACATTTCAACGGCAGTATCAGTGGAAACGACAAGAACGAAAGTCCGACTGGGGTGGGCAGGAGGGGTGGTGAACGGGTCCAACAAACGGCAACTTTCACCCAGGAGAGCGGTGTTTGCTTCCCATAAGATTTTAAAGCCAAACCCTGTTCTTTTTTCCTAAACCCAGCTACATGCTTTTGTTGCCTAAACTCAACCATGTGCGTGTGTTGTTGAAGGAGAAAAGAAACGCCAGTTTGCGGTGTACCGACATAGTGCCTTTATTTTCTAAGAGACTGTATGTAAATGTTAAATTTCCTGTGAAAATGGAAGTGTATTTCCAATTAAGTCAATGCGTGTAACAGGCAGAACTTGACATGGTGTTCCAAAACATCAACAGCCAACGCACCCATGGTCCCTTGCACATTGTATCTGGACATGGAAAGTCCATGACTAAACATTGATATGTGATGGGGTCAGACTGAGAATGTGTTGGCGTGTCAATTTGCACTCAAATTGTGTCCTTTCAAAATACACCTCCTTTTTCACAGGAAATTTACAGTCTCTGTTTGTTACAACCATGTAGTCTTTTTTTAAGATAAACTTACAACACAGGTAAAACACCTTGTTTTTACATTTATCTCCGTAAGTTTAGGAAACCAAGTCCATGGTTAGGTGTGGAAAAAAAACCTCATGGTTTGGCTTTAAGTAAGTACAGTTGTTACTAGCACCATGTAACATAATGCGTCGTGTCATGGGACATATGTCACTATCGTAACATATGTTGAAATAACTCCACTGACTTTTGGTTTCTTAGAGGAAGCAGACAGCAAGCTCTGGAGTTTGTTTGATCCATCGACCTCCCCTCCCACCTGCTCTATGGGGACTTTTCTTGCTCCTTATTATATGGGAGTTGACAGTTTCATAAGGCTGAGAAAGGTGCCTTTGTGCGTTTGTATCTGAGGCGGACATCCACTGACAAATTGACATATTGGATATGTTCAGTTGTTGCCCACTGTGTTCATAACTGCTGCTGCCCAGTGTAAATCATTCCACTGCGAAAGGTGTTTTAATGCTTTGGTATGTCACACCAAGATCATTGACAGAGCAGTGGTATTTGACGGGTTGGGAATGAGTACAGGCTGGTTGCAGATACGTTAAAACTTAACATTTCAACAACGTTTTGGTGAACATGTGGCTAGATTTAGGCACAAAAACCACTTGGTTATGGTTAGTAAAAGGTGGCACTGTCCCACTTAGAAACACAACAATGGCTTACTAAAAAACACCCATGTTTGAGGCTAAAAAGCCACTGAAAATGCTGCAATGACTCGCTGTTGTTTGTTGGTGTGCAGTGGTCTGCAGCTTGGCAGGCGTGCCATCTATGTGTCACGCCATTCACCATCCCCTCAACCTCCCAGTGACAAAGTCAGCTCATTTAATACATCTCTTTAAAAATGTTAATATGACCCATATGAAATGTACCAATGTAATGTATTCCTGGTTTGCAGAAATTTACAATGCCAGCATTTTCTTCTGGCAACTGGACTGGATCCGGCAACAAGACAAACTAGAGATGTATGGTGAGGGAAGACAGGAAACATAGAAATAAGCCCAAAGACCCCTTGCAACCTGCAACTACCAATATTTTTATGCAACTTTACAGGAAAACAAGCCCAGAGATGATTATAATAAGCGGACTAGGCAACTTTTATTATTTTGCTGCAGAGTGAGTGCTCTTCACTTTGACATTGCTCTTTGATACAGGCAGCTGCAGACACAGTGCAGATGCCTGGTGGAGGAGAGGCTTTGCATCATAAGGCACTTATCTTCTGCGAGATGGTGAATTTACATCTCACAGCAACTTAATATAATACAATCTCTAGTTTTTTTATATCTAGTGTCAGCAAAGAATGTTGAACATTTACAACTCGTTGTTAGCGTAGTGTAACCTGGAAATCCAGATGCCCCGCCCCTAACAAATTTGAATTTGCTCTGCAGGGGGATCTGGCCCCAATGAGCAGAGCCTGTTGAATCACCATCGGACCAATCAGATCAGTGTATATGACAGAGGCGTGCTCTGGGTGGGCGTAACATGATGACGACAGTGCTGTGCCCTAAGAGTCGAAAAGTAAACAGCCAAGATGGCAGCTGCCGAAGGACCGCGTCCACTCAATTTAGCTTTGGGAGAAACGCTAAGCCAACTACACGTGTCTTTTTTTTTTGAGAGAGAGGAACAGAAAACTGCCCTAGAAGCCTTCGTTTCCAGGAAGGACATTCTTGCCATTTTGCCGTTGGGATATGGCAAATAATATATCAGTTAGCCCCACTTTTCGGCAAACCAATGGGGCTTAGTGCAATGAACACGTCACCTTGTTTTTTGCTCTGATTGGCTATCGTGCTATCCAATTTGTGTGCAGTGGCATTTAATATGCCTCAGTTAGTGCTGCCCCTTGGGTAGGAAGGGTGTATCGGTGAGGGCCAGACTAGATTTGAGTCTGGATTTCCAGGCTAATAGTAGTGTGCTTGATTACTATATTATGTGAACATCACTGTCCCACTGAACGTCATGCTAAACCCCGTTAGGGTATGAAAAAAAAAGATACAAATACAAATATTTGGATTGAACAGCCAAATTTTATTCAACTTACATAATTCTGAGCTGGGTACAGCCCTCAGCAGAATTGTAGACAAGGTAGGTTTCGAGAAAGTGGGTTTACCCATTAAGAGTCATGCTCACTATGTAGCAGTTCCTTTTGGAAATAAGAGTGGGGTAATGGCATTGCAAGCTTGAAGGTCATGTATAATATTCAACCATTTAATTCACTGCAGAGATGTTCATAGATCTGTGCTCAGGTTGTATAAGAAGTGAAGTGTCATTATTATCAGTTGGATTGCAGCTCTCTGAGGTGAGGAGAAATGAATCACACGCTAACTTCAGTTGTTTAAACGGCTGATTGATGATGTGAGTCACCAGCGATGGCAGGATCAGTGCTTCAGTTCCCACCGGGGTTACTCAAGGTACTGTAAAGTCCTTGAGATACATTTGTCCATCGGAGAGATAACAACACATCTCTGCCGTCATGTTAATATCTTATGACTCCAGATTACAGCAAGGTCAGCAACAGGGTGATATGGTTGAGAGGAATTATCAACTCTAACTCTGATGAAACAAAGAATTTAAATGTGTCCTATAACCACATTTTAAGCAGTACTGGTTCTGTTTTTAATCTGGATCTCGTCAAGCAT